ACGTATGAGGAGGCTTTGAAGGAGGGGCCCTTGACGCCGCGTGCGCCGACGGGGCCGAGGACGCCGCGGACGCCTGAAGGGCCGGGGATGCCGCAGTCGCCGCCTCGCATGGCGCCAACCACGCCTCATGAGGCGGTCCTTGTAGCGGGCTTCACGATCATTCCGCCGACGCCACCTGGCGCGGTGGACCCCCCGCAGCCAGAGTCGGGGCCACGCCCTTCCATGGCCTCGCCTGTGAACAGCCTAGAGGCGGAGCTGAATGCCATGCTCGCGCCGACGCCATAATGACACACTGGCTGCGGCAGATTTGGCACCAGGTGGTCAATGTCCTAGCTGTAGGCGCTAAACAACATAGGCGCGAGTCGCCGCCAGGACCCGCTGCAGGCTGCTGCCCAATTGCAATCCAGGCCAACTCGCTCATCTTTGTGCGATCGCCGAGCGCCTTTTCTTTCGCAATCCATCGCAATTCACTGCATCTTCGCCTCTGCTCGTCCACCCATCAGTGTCCCCAATCCTCACCTCTTCGTCCTCCCATTCCGAATTCCGCTCCCTCCCAGCTCGTCGTAACCCAAGCGCCGTCGCGGGCCTTTGCGACGATGTCCGAGGAGGACCAGGAGGAGGAGGAGCAGGAAGAGGAGTAGGAAAAGGAGTAGGATGGAGGAGGAGGATGAGGAGGAGGAGGAGGAGGAGGAGGAGGAGGAGGAGAAGCGAGAGGAGGAGGAGGAGTACAAGGAGGATGAGGAGGAGTGGAACGGGTGAGAAGTCAGTGAAGAGGCTGAGGAGAAGGGGATTTCAGAGGAGGGAGATCAACGTCGTCATCGTCAACGTCGTCGTCGCTTTTGCCTTCCTCGTCACATGCTCCTCACTCCCGCCGCGCTCGCAGGCCTGATGAAGACGAGCTGACGGAAGCCTTCGCCCTGATCAGCGAGGGCGGAGCAGCCTGACGCCGCTGCGGAGAGGGAAATGCAGCTCTCTCTCTGCTGCCATCGCTGTGATCTTCAGTCGACAATCTTCAGAAGATCTGTCCTGGCCCTGACCCCCACCGGTTCTCCCCGCCCCCCTCCCGCCCCCCCCCGCCCCGCTCCCCCCTCCCCCCCCCTCCCCGCCCCCCCCCGCCCGCCCTCCCGTTCCCCCCTTTTCCCCCACCCCCAGCCCCCCCTCCCGCCCCCCCCCGCCCCCTCACCGGCCCCCTCCCCCGGCTCCCGCCCCGTCCGCCCTCCCCCCCCCGCCCCCTCACCCCCCCCATCCGCCCCCTCGCCGCCCCCCCCCCCGCCGCCCGCCGCCCCCCTCCCGCCCCCCTCTCCGCCCACACTCCCCCCCCCCCCCGCCCTCCTTCCCGACCCACCCCCCTGCCCCCCCCTCCCGCCCCCCCCCCCGCCCCCTCCCGCCCCCACCTCCCCCGCCCCCTTCCCGCCCCCTCCCCCGCCCCCCTCCCTGCCCCCGTCCCCCAACCCTTCCAGAAATGTCCCGATCATTGCGAAAATTACGCTGCCCCTCAGGAGCAGGAAACGAGGAAGAGGTGGGATGAGGAGGGTTGAGGAGGAGAGTGGTGGAGGAGGAGGATGAGGGGATCAGGAGGGATTGGATGATGAGTCGGAGGAGGAGGAGTGGGAGGAGTCGGAGGAGGAGGAGGAGGAGGAGGAGGAGGAGGAGGAGGAGTGATAGAGTAAGGAGGAGGAGGAGGAGGAGGAGGAGGAGGAGGATGCTGAGGAGCAGGGGGAGAAGGCAGCCTTGAACGTCGCCAGTTCCTCAATACATGGTCTGCCAACCAACACTTTCGTCAATGTGCGTAGTGGGCCCATCGTCGTCGTCGTTGCTGTCGTCGCCACGTTCGCCGTCGTTGGCGTCGTCAAAGCTATCGTTGTCGTCATCGTCGTCGTGGTGCCGACGTTGTCGGCCACGCGTCTGCGTGACGCCACCGTCGTCGCTGACGTGCTGTCGTCATCGTCTGATGGCTTTGCCCAAGGGGAGCTTGGGGCCCGTCCCTGGCGCAGGCGGGGCGGCGGCGGGCCCCCCCCCCCCACCCCCCACCCCCCCCACCCCCCCCCCCCACCCCCCCCCCCCACCCCCCCCACCCCCCCCACCCCCCGCCCCCCCCCCCCACCCCCCCCCCTCCCCCCCCCGCCCCCCCCCCCCCCCCCCCTGCCAGTCCCCCCCCCCCCCCCCCCCCCCCCCCCACTCCCCCCCCCCCCCGGCCCCCCCCCACCCCCCCCCCACCCCACCCACCGCCCCCCCCCCCCCCCCCCACACCACCAACTCCCCCCCCCCCAGAACTCCCCCCCCTCACCCCCCCCCCACCCCCCCCCTCCTCCCCCCCTGCCACGAGGCGTGCCCCTGGCCCGAGGGCCTCGCGAGGCCCGAGCGGACCCGAGGCCCACCCGCCTGGATCGGCGAAGCTCGGAATTCGGCTGTGTGGCTTCCTGATTCGTTTGTGCATCGGGATGCGCCGTGGACGATTCAGTCGATTGACGAGAAGTTCGGCAGGCCCGTCACGCCGATGCGCGTGGCGCTGTTGTGCGCCGGCGGGGGTGGGTGGGGGGACAGCGTGCCACGCGCGAAGCACGGAGATGTTGCGCGTAGCGATGCGAGTAGCACGCGCAGGGCCCAGGGTGAAGGAGAGGAGGTGTCAGAAAACAGTACGCGACGCTAGATGTGGATTGCACCACCCTCGTGTTTCTCATCCTCCATTTCTTCCCCCCTCCCCCCTCTCATCTCTCATCCTCCTTCCCCTCCTCCTCTGCAGTCTTCCCTCCTCCCTCGTCCTCCTCCTTATTCTCCTCACCATTCTCCACTTCCTCCTCCTCGTCGTCGATCTTGGGTCGATCATCGATCGTTCGTTCTCGTCGTCACCGTCGTCTTCGCAGTGGTCGTTGTCGCCTCGACTTCACGTCGTCGCCTTCGAAATCCTCGTCTGAGTTGCAGTCGCAATCGCTCTCGTGGCTCGCGGCGTCCTCGTGGTCAACGTCGTCGTCAAGTCGTCAACCGTCGTCGAGGTGTCGTGTGTCGAGGTGCCTGCCTGTGTCCATGTCTACGAGGCCGCTCTCGCGCTTGCTCCCCGCGCCGTTGTCCGAGCGCCTGGCGGCGCGGTGGGAGGGGAGGCATATGCGCTGCCGAGAGGGCGGCTCTGGAGGCGAAGTGGCCGTGGGTGAACGTCAACGTGTATGATGTGTCGGACCCTCCCTTCCCTAAACCGTCGTTTGTGCGTCGCCGCTCGTCGTCTTCTGCGCGGTCATCTTCCCGTCGCCGTTGGCGACGTCGTCGTCTCGCGCGTTGCCGTCGACGCAGGTTCAGAATGAGCCGCGAGAGAATGTTGGGCTCTAAAATCCAATGGCCTCCAGGAAGCGCCAATGGCTCAGGACCTCACAAGGCCCATGTTAGGGCACGTGGTCTGATAAGCCAACAAAAGGAGAAGAGCCAAGTTGAATCGCGCCCTCCTGCCGCAAACCTCACTCTTCCACCCCTCTATTGCGAGGCTTCCTCTCTCGCCGACGCCTTTGCGACAACGACGCCCCACCACCTCTGACCTTCCTCCTCCTCGTGATCCCCCGCTGCCCGCTCCAACTCCGCCCTCGCCCTCCGCCGACAACCCATGCCCTCATTTTCGTGCCCCCCCTCCCCCCTCCCTCCTCGCCATTCTCACGGCGCCTCCGTTCGCCCGCCCGGCCAGGGCGAGCTCCGCCCCGTCGCGAAGCTGCTCCACGACTCGGCCTGCACGAACCCAGTGCACCTGCACTGCGGCAGGGCATTTTGCGCCGCCCCTGCTTTGAGAGCGTGGAGGGGGTGGGGGCAGGAAACAGGACAGGCTTGCAAATCAATAGGCGCAGCGCAAGCAAGCATTGCATTTCATCACGTAGATCTCTACCATCGCAAATCTCCCAGTGCACGGCAAGCAAGCCACGCAATATTTAACGCGCATAAGCTAGAAGACAATATCGCACATGCCATATCGAAGCACGCAAAATAAGCGTGGTAAGCTAGGCGTACCAAGCGCGCCTAGACAGAGTTCAGGCACAGTGGCAAATCAACGTTCGCATGGCATGGCATGCAACAGATTGCATTCGCGTGAGCCATCGTGTAACAAACGGCCATGACGCGTAGCACTGCGTGCCCCCCGTTGTTCGTTGCAAAGGTCAGACAATCCAGCTGGCACGAGAGAGAGCCTTTCGCCCCCAGTCATTGCATTGACTTGCAGTTCTAGGATACCCAGGGCAACGTAGCAACATCGCAATGCAGGTGGACCTGGATCCAGCTCACTCAAGCACGCACACGACCCCAGGGGACAGCCCCTAGTGACCAAGCAATGAACGAAGTCGATGGCATGAGCATCATCATGTTGGGCAGCCCAAAGCTGAAACCTTAGAGGAAAAACCATGCGGCCTGTGAACGAAGTTGTTTACTGGATATACGTTCAGTTTCCTCGGCCCCCTTATCTATCATCCCAATCGTGCCGAAGCCATTTGGCTCCAAGTGCAGTTTCGGGTGCTTAAGGAGCTCTCGCTTTATTGCCGAAGCCCGCTACCCAGCTGAAGTCCACGAGGTCGCAGCGATGCCAGGGAAGTCATCCGTGCTGCCCCCGCCTGTTCCTGCTGGGGCTGGGATCGTGGGCGCCTTCAAGAAGGCGCAGATGGAGAGACAGGCGGCGGGGGCTTTTCTCATCGTTCCTCTTCCCTCTCCTGCTCCTGTCTTGCCTCTCTCTCTCTCTCTCTCTCTCTCTCTCTCTCTCTCTCTCTCTCTCTCTCTCTCTCTCTCTCTCTCTCTCTCTCTCTCTCTCTCCTCGCTCATCCTCCTCCTCCTCCGACCTCCGACCCCTTATCCAACTCCTCCTCTAGATTCTCCTCCTCCTCGCCCTTGTCCATATTCCACTCCGACACGTTGCCCTTGGGCCCGCCCCCTTCTGCCTGACTGAATCACCGCCCCTTTCGTGTCAGAGAGATACGGCTGGGCCATTTCGGCCATTTCGAACCCCGAGGGATTCTGCAGCAGGCAGCGGCGCCCCCAAGGCCAAGGCCGCGCAGCCGCCTGCGAGCCAGGCTGGGGCCGCGGCCGCGAGCGAGGGGCCGCTCGCCGCGCCGCCGGCCGCAGCGAGCACCTCCGCGGCTGTGAAAGTGCCGCCATCGGCGCCGCCGTCGCAGCCCCTGGCAGCCTCCGCCGATCAGGCGGCGAAGGGGAGCTGCGACCCCAAGCCCAAGGCAGGACAGGCCGCGCCGCCGCCATCGACGAGTGGCCCTACTCCAGCAGCGGTGGCAGCACCTGCGCAGAGCGGCGCGCCAGCCAACACTGAGGAGCCAAGCGAGCACGAGACAGGAGCGGACCTCCTCGATGATCTCCTGGGCAAGGCTACGGATCCATCCGAGCCCGAGAAGGCGCAGCAGCAGGCTAAGACTCCTCAGCAGCCAGCAGGAGCAGACGCCGCGGCCCCGGCTGCCTCCTTCCCAGAGCCCGCCCCAGCAGGAGCGCCCCAGCCCGTGGCAGCGAACGCGGCCTCGTCCTTTGTCCAGCAGGGCAAACACCAGGCCGGCGCAGATGGGCCAGCGGCCGCGCCGACTCCAGTTGGGGGCACATCGACTCCTCGCACGTTCGACCAGGTGGACCTCCTTGAGGCGGCATGCTTGGACATCGGCGCTGACGATGGCCAAGATGGCTTCCGCTGCCCAAGATGCAAGCTGGACCTGCCCGAGTCCGAGCGCATCGCTGACGCAGACCAGAAGAAGTGCGCGAAGGACGTCTGCGCGAAATGCCACGGCAACGCCAAGACGCTCCAGAAACGCTTCAAAAAAAACAAGCAGCTCAAGGCGTGGTGGGCAGGAAAAAACGAGGGGGAGCAGACCCGCTGGTTCGCGGAGCACAGGGAGTGCGCGGTGGAGGACCGCTGGGGGGAGGAGGAGGAGGACGCAGGGGGGGGACGGAGGGGGAGGAGGAGGAGGAGGAGGAGGAGGATGATGAGGAGGAGGAGGAGAAGGAGGGAAGAAAAGGAGGCAAGGAGAGGGATGAGAGTTGGTGGGAGGAGAGGAGGGGAGGGAGGGAGGAGGATGAGCGACGGATTGTGGGCAGGAGGATGAGTGGAAGGAGGAGGAAGAGAGGAATACTCGGCAGGAGTAGGTGGAGAAAGAAGAGGGGAGGAGGAGGTGGGGGGAATATGAGGAGAGAGGGAAGCAGCAGCAGCAACGCGATAGGGGAGGAGAGGAGAAGAGGAGAGGAATGGAGAGGGGGGGAGAGGAGATCTGAAGAGAGGAAGCGGCAACGGCTGGCCCGAGGATTGCGCACAGCTGCTGAAGATGGCCACGGTCAGCGTGACGAAGGCGGAGGACCAGCACCGCGAGAGGACGCACTGGAAGCCATGGCGGCTCGTGAAGCGCGACTTAGCCCTCGAGGGTATTTACGATGAGAAGGAGCAGCTCATCGAGTTCTGGCGGCGGTGCATGTCGAAGGAGTACACCGTCAAGCCAGATCCCAAGCATGCGGGAGAATTTTTGATCGCGGAGTACCAAGGGGTGATCGACGACCAGGTGATCACCAAGGGCGTGGAGGCCAAGATCGAGCGGGCGAGCAGCGCGAACCTTTCGGCGGAGGAGTTATCGAATGTGATGGCGGCCATGCAAGCTGAGGTGAGACTGTCGTTGTCGGGCTTCCAGGCGCAGAGTAGCAGCAGGATTGGTAGTGGCCCCGCCTCCGACCACGTCGCCGTTCCTGTCGACTTCCTGGAGGGCGTCAACAGCGAGGTGCCGCGGGGTGACCTGCAGCTGGGTCCCGACTTGACGAAGTTTCTGGATGAGACCACGGAGAGGGCTGATAAGAAGAAGATGGCTGCGCGGCTAGAAGCCTTGGAAGACTCCGAGGCCAAGGACCTCGCCAGAGACGCTGCAGCCGCGAAAGTCAACCCCGTGACGGTGAGGCTGAACACGAAAAAAACTTGTCGAGAGGGCGGCGTCGGCGATGATCGGCCAGCTGGAACTTCAGGTGACAGAGGGGGTTAACATTAACGAGTTCATGACCAACAAGCTCAGCGCAGAGGAGCTCCAGGAGGAGCCTTGGCTACCCTTCAAGACCAAGTTGGACGCCCTCGGTGATTCAGCAAAAGTGGAGATCAACAAGATTAAGACATTGGTGTCCGCCAGGGCATGGAGCACTCGCTTGGAGAATCGGTATCCTTCCTGAAGGGGCTCTCAGGAGCGGCCATGCTTGCCCTTGCGAAGGAGGATGGCAACTTTGCCATGGTCATCAAAGAAGGTCAATTGGCGATCCTCCCCTGCGGCTTCATCTTCTTGATCCACAGGCCGCAGGTGACGACAGGGCTTCGCTGGTCCTTCACGGCTGGCTGGCCCCAGGAGCTCAGCATCGCGAAGATGGGCGTGGCGTCGGTGATGGAAGCGCATGCGGCGGTGCGCGGAACGATGTACGAGACTTGGTGGGAGAAGCTGTTGGAGTTAGACAAGGGCGGGGAGGCCCCGGCAGCAGGCTCGCGAGACCAGGTCCTGGTCTGGAGCTCGCAAGCGCCCCGAGGCACATACCTCCAGGGCATTGGCTGCGCGGGGCAGGACAGCCCCCGCGCTTCAGCCTAGAGTTGCCGCCGCAGCAGACTCCTCCTCTTGCTCGTCTTCCCCCGTCCGATCCACCAACCCTTAAGGTTCTCCTCTGTGCCCCGTCTAGCTTCATCCATTTCTCCTCTCCCGAGCTCCCATTCGCTGCCCTCGCCCGTCTTCATTATTTCTCTCCTCTTTCTCTCTCTCTCTCTCTCTCTCTCTCTCTCTCTCTCTCTCTCTCTCTCTCTCTCTCTCTCTCTCTCTCTCTCGCTCGCCTCTCCTCTCCTCTCCCTCTCTCTCTCTGTTTCTCTCACCTCTTCTTCTGGTCTGAGAATCTGACCTCGTCTCCTTCTGAACTGACCTCCTTAAGAACAACTCCCTGATGGTCGCCGTGAGTCAACGCACTACTTTCCCCCCGCTCACCCCCATCCCACCCCCCCTCCGAGAGAGCAAGGGGGGCGGGGGCAAGAGGGAGCAAATCGAGGGGCCACCTTCAACGGCGGCAGGAGGATTGCGTTCATCTGCTCGGCAGGCGTCGCTCATCCTTGGCCCACGGACACCCGTCCCTCCATCGGTCTCTTTGCGCCTCTCCCGCTCGCCCTGCCCTGCCCCCTGCCCATCCACATTTCTATATCTCTCCTTAACTCTCGTTGTCTCTCGCTCGTGCGCGTGGGGTCTCTGGAGCTCTGTGAAGCGCCAGTGCTAATCTTCTTTTCTTCAGCCCTCTGCGTGGGCCGTGTGCGACGGTCCCACCGCGGCTCAAAGCCCAACAGCCCTCCCGAGTCTTCAGTTTTCGGGGTGGCAGCGCAGGGCCACCGCTTGGAAGCCAAGTCTGTGGGATCACACCAGGAAGCCAGGAAGTCTTTGAGAGGAGAGGGTCCATGGGCCATGAGCCTTGATGCTTGAGGGGGAGGGGTGCTTCCTGCTAGTGTCTGTTTCAAGGGCTGACACTTCAGGGCTTTAGGAGGTCTGAGACCTGATGAGGGGTTGGGGGCGACCGCTGAGAGTCGCGCAGTCAGGGCTGCTGGCTCGAACCGGCGATCGCCGACGTTTGCAGACATGTCAAGCAACATATCCTTGCGACTGGCGAGAGAGAGAGCGCAGGCCCTCAGGCGAAGGTGACAGCGAAGACGTCAAAGGCTGATGAGGGGGACGCGACGATAGACGCGACAGGTGACAGGAAGGGTAAAGGCTGGGCAGTAGAGGGTGAAAGGGGGAGAGGCTGGGAGAGGGGAGAGGGAGCCTGAGGGACTGAGGGAGGATGGATAGATAGGAGAGGGGGGAGGCGGGAGGAGGGAGGAGGGAGGGAGGAGTGAGTGAAGGGCGTAGAGTATAGTGCGGACTACGAATGCCGAATGACGAGGGGGCAGTCCCGTCCTGTAGCTTACGTTATCATTGGCCTCGATTCGTCACGTCGGCGCGGACATCAGTCGAGTGGCATCGTCAAGCGTTGTGTCGTCACCGCCTGGAATCCTGGAGCCGTCGTAGGTTTTTACTTGACTGGTGTGTCGCTCGTGTCGTTCTTCGTTCGTGACCTGTGTCGTTGTCCGTCGTCTTTCGTCCTTCGTCGTCGTCTTGGCGTCGTCGGCGTCGGCGTCGTCGTCGTTCGTCGTCATGGCCTTGTCGTAGTCGTCGTCGCCCGTGACGTCATCCTCGCCTTCTTCTCATCACAGGCCGCGCCCCCCCGGGCCTCCGCCTGCCGCCAGGGGGATGGTGACATCTTGAAGATCGGCCTCAGCACGGACCTGAGCAGGGTTGTGGGGCCCAAGCTCTTCGTAGCCAGCGAGGGGTTCGTCTGTGGGTTCCCCTGCCCGCCCTGGAGCTTCCTCGGCAAGAAGGAGGGGGCCGACGACGCGAGAGCCCAGGCGAATAGGAGGAGAGGAGTCGAGGAGCGAGCAGCAGCAAACTAGGGACCAGTAGGAGGAAAAGGAAGGTGGAGGGCAGATGAGGAAGACGGAGGATGTGGAAGGGGAAGGGGGAAGGAGGAAGAGAAGAGGGAGGCGAGGTGAAGTACAGGGGGAGAGGAGAGAGGCATGGAGTAGGCAGGACAGTGAGGGAAGGCGGATGAGAAGAGAAGGACGATGTCGTTGCAAGAGGGATGAAGGATGAGGCTCTATGAGGCTTCAATGTATGCGATTCGCGCGTAACAGGGGGCTAGATACAGAGGAGAAGCGTGCGATGCCTTTGGCGCAATGCTAATCGTGCTTGCCACGATTACCATTGCGCCAAAAACATCGCACGCTTTCTCAGTTTTGGAGCAGTCGTTTCTGTTTGAGCATGCCAAAGACAATCGTTTCAAGTTTGGCGCAATGCTAATCGTGCTTGCCGCGACTGGCCCATCATCCGCCAGATCTGGGTCAGCGTGGCGAATCTCCAAAGCGATGCGCCTTACCTGCTGGAGGACTCGTCGGGGTGCGCTCGCTGTGGAGATCTCGCGGATGATGGTCGAGTCGAGCTGAGGACTATCTTGTACTGTACTTGTTCGAGTCAGAGAGGGGGGATGCCCCCCCAGCCCGCGATGACCATGGGCTCGAATACTTCCAACAATAGTCAGGCGATGATGGAGGGGAGTAGGAGGGGGAGGAGGAGGAGGAGGAGGAAGAGAGAGAAGGAGGAGAAGGAGGCGGAGGAGGAGGAAGAAGAGGAGGAAGAGGGAGGGGAGAAGGAGGATACGGAGGATAACGAGGAGGAGGAAGGCTGAACGTTGCGCCGCCCGAGCGAGCGGCACAACGTTTAGCCGATCTCCTCGGTCCGGCCCCCCCCGGCCTCGCGGAGGTGTGCCTGAAGATGCTGCGCTTGTTGAAGTGGCAGGCCAGCCAGCGGTTGGCTTGGTTCTGTCTTGAGAACGTACGGGGCATCTGCCACAAGCAGAAAGACAAGCAGCCGTTCCTCCAGGGCGAGCTGATGCCCTGGCTGCGCGAGAACTTGCAGGACCGTTGCGGCACCGACCATGAAGAGGAATGCTTGAAGCTTGGAGGAGAAAGAGGACGAGGGGGAGTAGGAGAGTAGGAGGGGGGATAGCAGAAGAAGGAAGGGTCAGAAGAAAGAGTCGGTTCAGCAGAACCAGAAGGGTCGGAAATGCGGGACCAGGAGGAGAAGGGAGACTAGCAGGAGAGAGGAGGAGGAGAAGGAGGAAGACGAGGAGGATGAAGGAGGAGTGGCAGTTGAGGAGGCCGAGGAGGGTGGGCCCCAGGGAGGGAGGAGATGGGCGGGACTTTGGAGGAGGGGGGGGAGGAGGAGGGAGTCCCAGGAGTCGTGGGAGTGAGAGTTAGAGGCTGGGCGATTACATCTCACTTCCCACCCAGCTGCCGCTCCCAACAGACACCCCTCTCTCTCGA